GTTTAATTCTTCGTATTGTTACCCGACACCGGGCAGCTTGAATAAATAAGAGTTGTTTTCAATTATGTACAAGCTGCCCGGTGTCGGGTAACAATACGAAGAATTAAACTATGGCAAAAAGCTACAAGTTCTTCAAATACCTATAGAATGATAGGTTTCTTTTCTGTGAGTGTAAAACACTTAAATACACCATTTCGAGTTTAAGTTTCTTCATATGTCAATCATGGAGTATTTAACTGAAATATGTTTTCTGTTAAGGAAAATGTTAACTTAGAAATACAACTCACCTCTCCACAGAACAGGTTGCTAGAATCCCATATTGATGAGATAGTGCAGGGACCAAAGAAGATTAAAAAGACAAGCTCCTTTCAAAGATAACAATAGAAAACGAAAATTCATGGAGAGTGTTATCCAACAGAGACACAAGGTTTGTTTGTTTTTAATTAAGCACAAAGCTACACAATGGACTATCTGTACCACGGGTATTAAAATCAAGAAACAAGGTAATAATTTAGTTCTGTGGGAGGTGATTAGCATTTCTGAATTAAGAAGTATTCATTCTGTTACTTAACTCTTTTGCAACAAACTCCATATAATATACACGAGTTAAGTATTTATAATATAACTTTTAATGCAGTAAGTGTATCTTCACAAAATTTGGTAGACTTTTGGTAATGATTACAAGTCTTTTGTACATAAAAAATTAGATTTTTTAATGAAGTAATTTTACTAAAAATTTGTTTGTGAAAATATCGAGTTTGTTTCATTACCAGTTCAAGTGTGAAGTGATTTTCATGTTATAACTAAAGTACTATTATTTGTCCCAAATATCTCAAATATTATTTGTGTAATCTCTAAAACCTCCTAAATACATTGCAAATGTTTGTTTTCAGTAAAACTTTATATTTTTTCTGTTATTTTCTCTACCCTAACTCTATGGGGTCTGTCAATTTGACCAGCCTTGTAACCACCATAAAAAATTAGGAAATAAATTTAAATTATGCATTTTTCGTTCTAAAATGACTACAGATTATAACACAAATGTTTAGTCTAAATAAGTTAAATCTCATAAAGTTATACATTTATATCTATTATTTTTATCATATTGACCTTCCAGCCATGCTGGGCTAATAATACAGAAGTTACAATGATGTGGCACACGCTCACTCGTGATCCAATAA